TGCATTCAAAAAGTTTGTGGAGCACCATTGTCAGTGTCAGCTAGGCAGACAGCTAAGCTCTTGCCTGTGTGAGCTTACATTCCAGCTGAGGGAATAGACAAGGCATAGGCAAGCAGGTACTCCAGCTGTGTTCAATACAATAAAGGGAGGGTAAAAGCCAGTATTGGAAATGAGCATGATGGGGCAAGGCTCCTTTTGGTTAGATGGTCAAGGAGGGTCTTTGTAGAAGTGAAATTTGAGCAAAAGCCTGAGTGATGTGAAGAGTGAGCCATGCATAGAATGAGGGAAGGTCATGTTCCAGGGAGAGTAGGAGCGTGTTCAAGGGCCCTAAGGAAGAAAGGAGGTTGGTGTGATAGGAGAGAGAGAAGGACCTAAGGCTGCATGCAGTGGAGGATAGAGGGGAGTGACCTTAGTTGAGGTTGGGGGGGACAGGTGAGAGCCAGGTAGTTCAGGGCTTGTGGCCATGATAAGGAGTTTGCATTTTAATCTACCTGTGAGGGGAAGTCCTAGGAAAGTTTTAAGCAAGGGGATTTGATATGACTTATGTTTTGAAAAGATACCCTGGCTGCTCAAAATACCAAAAGACAACCATATAGTAATCATAAGGCAACTTAAAATTACATGCCATGGAAATATAAGAATAAGAAGCATTCTGTGAGTAAGAGAGAAATAGCTCATTCAAAGAGACTGGAGTGAACTGAGAAGACTCAAAGTGGGCCCAGAACCAGGTGGGACCAGGTGGGTGCTCTGCATGGAGAGGCCTTATCCACTGGGGAAGGGGCTGTGATGTAGAGGGGGCAGATGTCAGTAGCTCTGGGGGATTTATCACTTTATCTCCCAGAGCCATGAGATCTGGCTCTGTAAAATGGACCTACTGAACCCTGTCATGTGTCTCGTGGGGCTGTTGGGACAGTGTGTGGATGCCCGCGAGAGCAAGCTTTTCCTTACCCGGGGAATCCTGGGAGACAAGGCTGGAAGTGCAAGAGAGAGCCACACACGTGAACTGAGGAACGTAGGGGTTTTCTAGTGTGTGCCCAGCTACCCTCCATGTCCCAGGCAGGCATTGCAGGCTTATCACAGTCCATCTTTCCAGTGAGCCAATTCTCAGTCTCAGAGCCCATCTCTTCCCCATTGCTAATAAAAACTGCCAGGTGGTGTAGAGCCTATTTGTTGCCTCAGCAGGGTCGTGGCGTCAAAGGGCAGGAACCTGATAAAGATATTAATATGGTGCTTTCTATCAGTTCAAAGTAAAGTCTCATCTGAGGTCCTGCCACATGAATTGGGGTGTTTGGAAAGAAACTGTGATTTTCTGTTAGTAGCAGTGGCTCACTTTTCTTTGTCTTCCCTTCCCTCATCTCCACTCTAGTCCCATTGTCCACCTTGACCATGGGCCCTGCCAAAGCTGACCTGATAGCAGCACTACCTACATCACATTTAGGGGAGAGGGTTTCAGGGGAACATCTCTTGATGGCTGCCCTGGCAGCATCCACCATGTGCTACTGGGCTAAACCATCCTGCCTCGGGGTCTTGGCACTTGGAGGATTTTGCAGAAATCACTTCCTTCTGTCCAGGGTAGGCTGGATTCTTGGGTGATAGCCCTGACCCACAGCAGCAAGAGTGCCTCTGAGTTTCTTTTTCTCAAAGTCTCCTTGTGCAAGATGAACTTCCTCACTCTGCCCCAGTAAAGGGAAATCAGCCTGGGGGCAGGAGAATGGAGTGGTCAACTCAGGTAGGGTCAGGGAGCCTTTGACCTGGAGGTAGCTCTAGAGGGGGGAAGGTGTCACTGTTAAGACTTGTAGAAGTTTATAACCATCAGCTCCAAAGAATGATTTCTTCTTTTCTTTTTTGTGATACTGGAATTTGAACTCAGGGCCTACACCTTGAGCCATTCCACCAGCCGTTTTTTGTGTTGGGTATTTTTGAGATAGGGTCTCACATACTATTTGCCCAGTCTGACTTCAAACTGCAGTCCTCCTGATCTCTGCCTCCTCAGTAGCTAGGATTACAGGTGTGAGCCACTGGTACCAGGCTATTCATTTTTTCTTACTTGAGTTAGAATCAAACTTTTTAAATCTTGATACAGTTAGTTCAAGTCAAGCCAGTAGAACCCTTCACAAAATATTCCAATTGCTCCTGACGTGAGGATTCATAGGCCTGGATACCTGAGGGCAGCCCTCCGTGTTCTTCTACCCACTCCATGGGAAAGGGGTCAGCTTGACCTCAAGCCAGCCATCCTTTGCCCTGGCCTCCCAACTGTGGATACTGTAAGCCAATGAGGGGATCGGGATTTCTTGGAAATTACTTGTGAAATTGGGGTCATGGATACATCAGTAAGGGGACAAGGGAGAAGAAGCTTTCACTAGAGTCTCAAGAGTACCATTGACCACCCCCCCCACCCCAAGATCCAGCCTCCTGCCTAGCTCCCCAGCCCATGCAGAGCTTCCTTCCTCCTACTGCTAAGGTGTCTGCCTGGAGGGAGAGGCCACCTCAGTGTCCCCAGCTGATTGTGGCTATGTGTGTCCCATCTAGGGGAGGTTCAAAGAAACATAAATCATACCGCACATTCTGCTAAATGGGCTTTTTTGGTCTTTTTGAGTAATCTTCTTGTAATCTGAGTATAAAATTATTTCTATGAGGAAAACAACCAACCAACTTGCCAAAACAATCATTTTATAGCCTGATTGTTTAGAAAATGACAAGTGGGTTGTAATGATGTTAAATGTTCATTTCTGGAAAATTATGTCCTTGTAATTCAAAGCAGTGGGAACCTTGACTCCTTTACAGTTCATGGGGGCCCAAGTGGGCTCTAGTCAGGTGATACCCACAGAGCCCAGCCAGCCCTGCACCCCTTCCCAGCCCAGAAGCCCCCCTTGGGGCTATAGGTCAGTTGTTCCAAAGGAGTCTTTGGGAATGAGTACTTCCTGGGGCAGTGGCTCCTCCTTGTCCTGGCCATGGGAATTCCACACTGTTTGGTGGGCCTAGGGATGTCTGCTGACTGGCCTTTCTGTCCCTGTCTCTTACTAACTTATCCCCACATGTCCTCTCATCTAAGTACTCTTGGAAGTCTTTTCAAACCCCTGGTCACCCTTGATTTTCTCTATGAGTTAATTAGCTGTTCTTTTCATTGCTGCCCAATAAATATTTATCATGTATGTATTAAATAGTGAGCTACAAGTTAGAAAATCCCCAGGTCCTGCCTTTTAAGAATCACAGTGTGGCACTCAGAGTCCAGCATGATGAGTGTGTAATGTGTGTACGCCTTGTAGCAGGGGTACAAGGAAAGAGCAGCAGCTCCCTAGAGCATGGGGATGAGGACAGGAAGTTCTCTCTTTCTCTGTGGTTCATCTCTTGAAGGCATCGTGTAGGCATGCACTACATTCCCTACAAACCAAGGGCCATGGTCCTCTCTGTCTTCAGGCTGGAAGTACCCTAAGACTGGGATCTTCTCTCCCCTTCCTTCTACATTGCAACTTAACAGGAGTGGGCAGCCCCATGGACATTAGCAGTGAGGTGCCTGGTGCTCAGTACTCTCTCTGCTTCCTGCTTCTTGGGCACTGTGGAGCCTCTGAGTTGAGGTTAGTGATGTCTCTGCCATGGGTCCATTTGGGAGGAACAGCATACTGATCTATCTGACAACTCTAGCTACTCCCTGGGCTGGACCCCATCAGGGTCACTTTCCTTGCCTGAGGCCTGTCTAGATGTTCTGTTGGGAAGAGACGCTCCACAATGCTGCCTGAAGCCTGGCAGTCAGTTAGGTTTTCTATTGTAAGTGGGGGTAGCCATTCTGGACCTCACATCCCTGGCTGGGACAGGGTGAGGATGGACTGAAGAAGCCAGCTACAGGCAGGAATGGGATTGAGCGACTTGGAATAAGAGGCTCCTGTCTCTGTCACCTGGAGCTGAGCTCTGTAGGAACAACTTTGGAGGAGACAGAAACCTTCTTCCCAGTTAAGTATTCAGATGGAGGCTAGAGAGCCAATTTCGAGGCTCAGATGGCTTCTGAGAGGATGTGGGAGGTCTCCTCTGATAATTCTGGCCTGGGACTTTCTGTCTTCCTTTCTTGGCTTTCTTTTCCCTAATAATCAGAATCCCACACAGTAGCACACCCCCAAGCAGGCTGAGTCACACCTTGGCATCTGTTGAACCTGATCTATGCAGGGTCCCCTTACAGACAGACTGTCCTTGAGAGCAGCCTGCAGCCTTGAGCCAGTCTGTACCTCTCACCTCGCAGTCCATCCAGCATCAGAAGCCAGGCAACACTATGAAATGGAAACGGTTTTCCAGTGCCCTAATACCATCTGCACAAAGTGCCTGTTTTCTTTGTAATGTATCAGATTTTATTCTTCATGACATCTGACTGCATTCTTGTGGTTATATATAAGGAAAGGGCAGAGCAGTCTTTATCCCAAGAAAATGTCATTAGTTTTGAAAAAAGTCTGATCTCCATGCCTCTCTCTGTGGGGACAATTGAAACTTAATCTCCCACACACACATCATACTTTTGTCTATGTGTATCTTATTGCCAACTCAAGACTCAGAGAAGATGATGGTAATAGCAATGTGGATAATGGAACCAGGAGGCATGTTCCATTTACAGCAACTGGATTGCTTGAGCTCCAACCCGGCTCTGACCTGTGCCTGCGTATACAGTCTTGGGCAGCCTGCCACCATATTTGTACCTCAGTTTTCTCATCTTTAAAATGAAGATTATGCCAGTTCCTGTCTTGTGGGATTGATGAGCATATATAAAGCACTAGGTTGGTGCCACAGCCATATACATCTTGAGTGTGTTGTTTATGTAACTGTTTCATTTTTATCTCTTGGGCTTCCTGGCACTTCAGCACACCTGGTGGATTAGACAGGAGAGTTTTTTCTTTGAAAAAGCTTTCTCCCAGGTACCTGTATTCTGGGAATGGGACTTGCCTGTCTTAGGCAGGCACAGAGGGGCCATCACCAGACTCCCTGCCATGGGAACAACTTCTCTCTTTCTCTCCCCACAGGGTGTGGACACTGTAAAAAAATGAAGCCAGAATTTGAGAGTGCTGCAGAAGTCCTCCATGGAGAAGTGGACGTAAGCGTCCTTTCCTAAACCCCTCACTGTTTTCCTCTGAAGAGTTGCTGGCATATAGAACCATAAGAGCTACTTTCCCTACAAGCCCGCAAGCAGTTGTTCCCTTCCCTGTCCCCCAGTACACATGTCTTGGTCCATGAGGCGCCCCTACCAGGGACAGAGGGACAGAAAGCCTGTGGTGCCATGTTCCTGCAACTGTTTAGGTGACCTGTGCCTGATCTCTATTTTCTCTGGAACCCTGACTATTGGGAGCAGGCCCCAGTCTGACCAGCATGATTAGTGGGCGGATTCAAAAGCCTCATCTCAGCCCATCACTGGGAAATGACGGCCATGTCAGTGTCCAGCTGTTTCCCAGGGTATGTGAATCCTGGCACCAGGGGGCCAGGCAACCCCAGTTAAGTTTCAGCTGGTCCAGGAGGGGCTTGGGGGCCAACTCCTGGGCTCCTCTTTATACCAGCACTGCATCTGAGGCTGTAACGCATGGTTGGCCTTTCCCCCATCCCAGAGCTCTGGTGTCCTTGCAGCTGTCGATGCCACTGTCAACAAGGCCCTGGCAGAAAGATTCCACATCTCAGAATTTCCTACTCTGAAGTATTTTAAGAATGGAGAGAAATATGCAGTACCTGTGCTCAGAACAAAGAAGAAATTTATTGAGTGGATGCAGAAGTAAGTTTTATGGTCAGTGCACTTCCTAGCTGCTGGTGCCGACTGCTGGGCACTGCCTTGAGGAGATGGAGTGAATGTTGTGGGCCACTGTCCTTGGCTCAGGGTCACAAAGACCAAGCCGGATTTGACTCCCTCAGTCCTAAGGCCACCCTCCTATACTGCTCTCGTGTTCTAAACCAGCAGTAGCCCTTCCAGACATAGTTTCAGCAGATTCACGAGCATGTCTTTCCTTTTCTCTACTGCAGCCTCATTAGTCCCAGGGTTCATTATTTGTATTTTATTCCTCCCCTTTGAACAAATGAAGAGAACACACCCAGAGCTGGACTCATTCTGTCCCAGGTTTGCTGGTGGTTGCCAGAAGCCTCCTAGAGTATCCACAGTATAGGCTGCCAGGGTTTGGGGCTGAGGATAAAGACTTCTAAGCCCCCCTATCCGCCCCCCCCACACCAGCCTATGCATCTGCCTACGAGAGTCACCATAACAAAGCAGTGTGGACTGGGTGACTTAATCACAGAAGTTTATTTTTCTACTGCTCTGGGTTGGTTTCTTCAGAGGCCTCTCCTTGGCTTAAAGATGGCCATATTCTGCCTGTGTCTACACATGGGCTTTCCTCTATGTGGGTCTGTAACCTAATCTCTTCTTATAAGGACACCAGTCATTGGATTGGGGCCCACCCTAATGATCTTATATTAACTGAATTATCCCTTTAAAGGCTGTATCTCCAAATGCAGTCACATTCTGAAGTATGAGGGGTTAGGAAGAAACCATTTAACCTATATAGCCTACAAGTCCAGAGAACTTGAGTAACTTTGTGATTACTAAATCAAAGACCCCTGTTCTCCCAGGAAGTTTAGAGCATGAGTTGTCAGCATTTCCCCTCCCATGGGGACTACACAGGCCATCACACAGATGTGCTAGGGAAGGAGGAAGTCTCCAGCTATGCTTGAGGAGCAAAACTCATTACCAGGACACAGTGGAACAACCTTTCTCCTGCCCACCCCTGCCATATTTGAATGCTCACACATAACTTGAATATTGAAGGATGTTTTCTCATTTCAGCAAAGAGGGGGCAGGGAATAAAGCAAAGGAAACCATATTCCTGCCTTCTCAGAGGTCCCTGGTGCACAGGGTAATGATGTCCACTTGTGAGAGAAGGCTTTAAAGTCACAAAGCAACATAAGAACTACGCAAAACAACAAAGTTTCTATTGAGGCACTTTGTTAGGACTTTGGGCCTCAAACTTGGATGTACATAAGCATCCCCTGGTAAGAGGTGCTTATTTGAAGTGCTGGCCTGACATAATGGCCCACACTTATAATTGCAGCTACTCAGGGGACAGAGATGAGAAGGATCTCAGTTCAGGCCAGCCCTGTCTTAGTAACCAACCCAGGCATGGTGGCATGTGCCTGTGATCCCAGCCACACTAGGGGCCGTAGGCAGGAGGACCTCAGTCTGAGCCATGCACTTGACCTCTTGAAGCCCCAGTCTCTATCTATAAAGTGGAGACAATAATTTTCCCATAGGGTTGTTTAGGGAATTAAGTGAGATTGTTGTAAAGGGTTTAGCACAGTGTGTCATATGGAAATACCCAAAGAAAGGACACTGTTTTTCTGATTAATAGAGTAACAACACGTAAGTGGTGATACCACCAAGCCTTTGCCAAATGCTTTCCTGCTTTTTTTCAAACTTGTAGTGCTGGGAATTGAACCCAGGGCCTCCGTACATAACTAGGCAAGGCCTCTACTCCTGAGCCACATCTCCAGTCCCCTGCTTTCCTGTCTTGTGCCCATGGCCCCATTTTGTGCACAAACCCTACTGAGGCCAAAGTGTTTCTTCCTATTTAGTTCATGAAGAAATGTGGGCTCAGAGAAGTTAAGAGCCCTTCCCAGACACAGGTAATAGTTCTTTTTGTTATTGTTGTTCATTTATTCACATTTGCATACATTGTTTGGGTCATTTCTCCACCCTGCCCCCATACCCTACCCTGCCCTTCCCAGTTCCAGGCAGGTCTCGTTCTGCCCTTATCACTGATTTTGTTGAAGAAAAGACATAAGCATAATAAGGAAGACAAAGCGTTTTTGCTAGTTGAGTTAAGGATAGTTATACAGAGAGATTCCTACTGTTGTTTTAAATAATAAAATTCTTTGAGGTACCTGGATGGAAGCTTCAGATGGCTCTGAGGTAGAGGATTAAGTTTTCTCACCCAGAAGCAGGGTGAACAGACAGTGCTGGGTGTGTGCCAGCCTGTGCACAGGTGGCCAAGCTGCAGGTAACTGAGACACCCCTGCCAGCATACAACCTGGGGAGTAGAATTCATGGAAAGGGCAGAGCAGAAAAGGCCAGTTGGAAGTGTCAACTGTGGGGTCAGGGCACCTGGAGGACAACATAAAGAGAGGAAGACAGGAAGTCTGGGAGGGGCCGGCTTGGTCACCAGCACAGGTGTGCCATACAGCATGGAGAAGATGGGGAAGGAAGATGGGCTTAGAGGTGAGGAGGAAGGAAGAGTAACATGTTCTAAATCTTGGTGGGTTTGAGGTAGCATTGGGACCTCCAGCTAGAAATGGGCTTCAATGAAAGGTCAGGCTTCCCAGTATCCTCAGCGGTGGGCGTCACTAAAGATCCCAGGAGTCATACGCACAGGAAAAAGATCTTTTGAGAATTGCAAAGGTTCAGATTAGAGCTGGAGAAGAAAGTGCTGTGGGAGAGGCAGGGATGTGGGGTGATGTGGGTGCTGGTAGGGGAGCTTCCAAAAGATGAGAGATTCAGAGTTGGTTCAGTAATTCTCATTTGGGCCCAGTGGGAATGCAGAGCTGTGGCAAGAGTGCAGGAGGAAGACACAGACCTGGTGTGTCTGGACCCCTTCCCAGAACAGAGACACTACTCTGAGAGGGAATTGAAAGAAAAACATGGGCTTGTAGATGGGGAACAGGGCAGCAAGGCTCTTCAAGTCCCTGGAGCCTTCTGGTAGCTTTCCATTTCTGTAACAAATACCTGAGTAATCAACTTATAAAGAAAGAAGGTTTATTTTGGCTCAGTTTTGGAGGTTTCCGTCCATGGTTAACTGGCAGTGATCTAGAATCTCTCACTAGGCTCCACCTTTTAAACTTTCTACCACTTCCCAATTGTGCCACTCTGGGGATCAAGCCTTTAACACATAGACTTTTGGGGTCATTTCACATCTAAACTACAGCAAGCTCCATCCTTGTGAGAGGCAGAGTAGAGGAAGCAGTGAACAGGCAAAGATTGAAAACTGTAAATGCTGACTCAACACCTGTCACTTAGAGCATCCAGGTTCTCCACACATGTCAGTAGCTTGATCCAGTAGTTACTTTGCACTGTTTCTGCTCCTCAGAAATCCCAAATGTAGGTGCCACTGTCTTCATTTAGCAGAAAAGAAAAATGGAGGCTCAAAGAGTAAATTACCCAAGGTCACACAGCTGTCAAGAAATCTGGATTTGAGCCCCAAGCCTCTGTTCTCCACCAGAATAAAACCTTCAGAGTGCTGGATGTAGTGGTGCACACCTGTAGTCTCAGCACTCAGGAGGCTGAGGCAGGAATATTTTGAGTTCAAGGCCAGACTGGGTTACATTGAGACCCTGTCTCAAAAAAAAAAAAACCCTTCAGAGAAGATAATGGGAAGTCATTTAGGGGACCTAGGAGGCAGGAAGCAGGGACTTGGGACTTGGGGCAAGAGAAGGAGATTCTGTGCCCTTGGCAAGGAGATGATGGCCACATCAGAGAGGTGTGCCTTGCCCTAAAACAAGATCATATCTTCACAAAATGGCTCCCTGATAGGCTTCCTCAGAGGGAGGCATCTTTGCAGATGGTATAGATTTGCTGGTGTTTACAAGGTTTTACACTGAAATTGCAGAGAAGGATGCACATGATTTCTTTGTGTCTGGGTTGGGGGCAGGAGTGCCTACTTGTCATTATTCTCTCCTCACGCCTGCTCCACTCACCTACTCGCCTACACCCTACTACTTCCACAGCCCCGAGGCCCCCCCGCCCCCAGAGCCCACGTGGGAAGAGCAGCAGACAAGTGTACTACATCTGGTGGGTGACAACTTCCGGGACATCCTGAAGAAGAAGAAACACACCTTGGTCATGTTCTATGCCCCTTGTAAGTAGCATGCTCATGAGGGTGAGGTAAGAGGGTTTGGGTTCCCCCAAGCCAAGAAGACCCCCAGGCACTAAGGCAGCCACTAGACAACTCTAGAGTCATCTTTACTACGAGCTGGGCTCCCAGTCTCATTCCAGGCTGAGAGCCTTACAACTCCAGGACCTCCTATCAGCCCTGTCAGGTTCTCTCCTTCGTTTGAGGGATACCTTTCTCATGTCAGCCCTATAGCCTTTTCTGTTTGTGGCAGGGACCACTCTCCACATCCCTGGGTTCTTCCATGCCTCCCCCTCCTCTGCCTGACCACTTCCTTCCTACCTTCCTCCTTTTGGCTCTGACTTCTTCTGGGCCTTAGAACCTCCTCTTCTGACCTTCCCCAGTGACTCTGAGCCATTTGGGTCTGAGCCATTTGGTGTGGGAACAGGCTCATTTATTCTCGAGTCCTGTGTGATTCTTGTTTTAATCAAAGCATAAACTTAGAGGAAGTGACATGTCTGCTAACATTGCCGTTTGTGACCTCGGGTTTTTGTGTATACTCATTTTTAAGTTGTTAATTGACACTTAGAAGGAAAGGTTCTTAAAATTTCCCACTCTTCTGTTGCCCTTCTCGCTCTCCCCCAGGTTACAGCTCAACTTAATGGAGTGAGGATAATAAAGGCTGCAGTCTACAGAGAAGCCAGGCAGCTCAATCTAGTCATAAACCTGCTCAGTTGTAGCCAGCCCTCCTGTTTGCTCCCCTCCTGCCCCCACTGCTCAATTGTCAGTAACCCATAATGTCTCCTCTTGCTCTCACTGTCTGGGAGGCCTCTGCTGCCCGTGGCCTCAGGTCCTGTCCCTCAAGCAGCCAGCACATCCTAGTAGCATCCCTACCCCTCGGCTTTGGCCTCTTCTCTTGTTCCCTCAGTTCCTTATCTGGCTTCACGCTTTCCTAGAAACCTGAGTATGTTTTAGGAAGTTAGCATTTTCCCTCAGGACAGAGGGGCATGGAGGACTGAGACCAGGATATCTCTGACTTCTCCAAGGTCTTGCAGCAAGTTAGTAGTGGCAGGCCCTTCTTGCAGCCTAGGTGGTCCCCTGTCCCTGTCATAGGCACAATTTGGTGAGTGAGAGCGTTCTTAATGAACAAGCACATTGCTTCAGAAGTAAGAGTCCTTGACCAGGCACCAGATGGGCTTCACAAAGTCCAGACTAAATACTGCCCATAGAAATGCCCCTCTGGCCTGTGCACCAGAGCTAGGCTTTCCCTCTGCCTCTCCCAGCTAGTTCCTGACCGATGGACCCTGTGATAGATACAAAGGCCTCATTGGCTGCTGGAGGAGACAGGTTTCTAAATCTCTAGGGAATTTGAGGTGGGGACTCCTACCCTGCTGGGCTGCAGATACCGACCTTCCTTCACCAAACACCAGCTCTGTGCTGGGCAGGGTCCTGATCCCAGGATACAAAGGAAGAAGCCATGTCCCCATCAGGGCTCCCAGTCTTCTTTGACACAACTCTAACAATCCTTTCAGGTCATTGTCACAGAGAGACTCATCATCTGAGTAAGAGCTTAGTTCTTGGTTTCCCTATCTCTCTTACTAAACTTTTCTGTCCTCAGATCTTGCCCCAGTACTCCTTAGGGAGATATACCTTTATGTGGGGAACCATTCAAGGACAAAAAAAGCTATTCTTCTATGTTTTTCAATGATAAAAATAATATATACTTACTTATACTATATATTAATGTGGCATATACTGCATACATATAGATATATAAAGAATCTAAACACTGCAGAAAGGTTAAGTATAAAATCAAACACCTGATAAAAGTATAAAGTAAGAAGCAAAAGCTGACCCCTCACACCCTGCCACTTTACTGCTCCACACCTGCCTTTTCCCACCTGCCACCCCCGACATTCCACCTCCCCCCACGTTTCATCTCCTTCTTCCACATCTCTTTAGCCCACATTGCTGCTGTCCTGCCCCGTGTGGGTCCCACATCCTGGCTCCTTGATTGTCACACAGATCTTCTTCTTGCTGTGTTGTCCTGTTCCCTACATGGGACTGCCCTTTCTACACCAGCTTAGTTTTAGGGTGGGATTTCCTATCTTACCCTCAGTCTTTGTGTCTTTCTCCCGATTCTGGGAGGCTTCTTTGGTTTCCTGCTCCACAGAATTGGTGCCTTAAAAAAAAAAAAAAAAAGTCCCAAATTTAAAGACATCATGCTACTCTGGCCCACCTGACAGCTCCTGGAAATGTCTTCATGCACTTTCTGAGACAGCCTCCCCTCCAGTTACTCATCTGCTATGCTCTTTCTTTCAGATAATGAGAAAATGAGATGCAGCAGAGGCCATTAATCAGAGGCCTCGATAATTTAAGTTGATGGTACAGGAATTTGCACTAGGCTGACAGTTACCTTTATACTTTCAATAAGCAAAGAGCTTAAAAAGGAGAAATTAATAGTTAAACCAGTGGGGTTAGGTTATTTTGAGCCAGTCTCATGCTATTAGTGGGCCTGTGCCCTTCACAGGGACTGTAGCTGCCCATAGGATTAATCTTTAGCATAGATTGTTAACCAGTAGATTGTGCTCTTCAAATGTTTTGAAAATTATATAACATCATTCCTTTAAACTATGACATTCTCATGAGTTTGAGCTTTTTGTCTCTGTTAGGTCAAATTAGCCAAGTGTTACTTGTAATTGCCACTTTAGGCAATTAAAAAGTCATCCATCCAGTATCTGCCATGTAGGCTGTGCTAGGCACTTTGTCTCATTTAGTTCTGATATAACCCATAACTAGCCCAGGTCTTGTCTCCTCTTTCTGCATCAGATGCTGGGAAAATCCCTGTGAGCCCTCTCCCCACCACCCCCAACACTGTTCTGGAGCCAGCTGGCTGCTCTGCCAGCCAGGCCATATGGGTGGTCCCACCCATCTCAGGAACCAGCTCAAATGCTAAATTCAGATTAAATTTGTAGCTTAGCCTTAATTTGGTTTCACAAAACCCTTTGAAATGCCAGTCATTATTATCTCATTCTAAAAAGGAAAAGGCAGAAGAGCAAAGCCATTTCTCTCCCCACCGAGTCAGCAAGTCAGCTCTAACTTGCTCCCTGAGGCAAGCAGACTTGCAGGCTGTTTGTCAGAAAGTTGTGGCTGGAGCCAGGTCAACCCACAGGGCCTCTCCACCTGTGTTTGGATCAGAGTTGATTACTACAGTCAGGGTCAAAGCTGCCTGTTCTCTTTACTAGCATCTGGGGAATAGTTGAGAGAGGTGGTAGGTTTGGGTTCTGATCTATTCAGGCTGAGGGAAGGACCAGAGTGGCCCTCAAGTTTCCTGGACTTAACTGTTACAGGAGAAAAGTGACCCACAAACAGGTCTCTGCCCTGCGCACCAGCTTAATGGGCTCTGGGTGATATACTGATCAAGAGACAATACTGCAGGGGAAGATTGTCACAAGCCTTCGTCCACTCCAGTAGGTCTTTTCTCTGGGCTGGGACATGTCAAGGGACTTGGGGACTGATGGTGACTCCTTGTAGCTTATCTTCCTCCTAGCCTGACCTGACCTTTCCCATTTGTGTCTTTGAGGTTAAGGTGTAAAGGGTGGGGGTTGCCCAGAGAGTGGAAGTTTCAGCCAAGCATGAGCCTCTGGGCTTGGACACAGTGGCTCCCCTAGGTCCTGCCTTTCCCAGTGCTACTTCCTCAGTCATGAAGTGGAGGACTTTGCCTTCAGCCCAGGGCAAGAGAAGAATGAACAGGCTTGGGGATCCTGAACACACATGTCTTTCCCTGAGCCCAGAGCTCCCTCTGGGGCCTGGATCCAGCTCTTCCTAGTCTTGAGGGTGTCCTCTGCAGAAGGGTCCTGCACAACACAACTATGGTGACCGCCTCTTAGGCCAGGTGGCAGATGGGAGGTCCTGGGCAAGAGTTGCACCAATGCTTGTGGCAGGGACTGCCACAAAGGCCCCATGCCCACAGGCCAAGCAGAGGAGTGGTTTAAGTGGCAAGGTTGACATGTGGACCCTGACAGTGGGGTGGGCAGGACCTGGGGCTCCTGGAAAGCCCTCTCCAAGGTTCTAGAAGTAGCCCCTGGCTCTGCAGCCTTCCAGCATGTGTGACACTCTATCCTCTCTCATTCAGGGTGCCCACACTGTAAGAAGGTCATCCCACACTTTACTGCTGCTGCTGACACCTTCAAAGATGACCGAAAGGTAAGGACACTCTCATCTCTTGTCCTACCTCTACCTCTACCTTTGCCTTGCCACTGATTCATACACCTTCCTCCCTGCCAGTCAGGTCCCTGTCCCTAAAGAGGTGTACTTCTGCCAAGACCTGTGAGCACGGTCATTCTTGGGGACTGGGACATTCTTTGTCTTCACAAGGCAAGACAGCACAGGCTGGATTTGTACTGCAAAAACAACAAATGAAATAAACTGAAGCATTACAGCACTGACTTGGAGGAGCGGGTGGTAAAAGGGACCATGTGTTTTGTTTTGTTTGTTTTTTGTTTTGTTTTAGTGCTCTAACCTTTTTACAGTAGAACTGTGGTCATATATTACTTATATAATTAAAAATATGAGTAGAATCCCACAAAAATCAAGTGGAGGAGAGCCAGGCCATACCAGATAATCCTCATCCTGCCTAAGCCAAAGGCCCCTGCAGCTGCCAGCTGATGAAGCATAAAATTAACAAGTTGGATCTGTAGATTGGATTATGGTGTGGGTGCCAGATGTGGACACCAGCCACAGTCCGCAGGCAACTCCAGCAGCAAGGGTACCAGTGGGAAAGGGCAATATGTGTCCTCTGGGTGGGACAAGACCCCAGAACTCAGGGGAGTCCTATCAACCTCTAATCCTTGAGAACCCTTCTCCTGTATGGTTTTTGTTGTTTGGGTTGGAGAGGGGACATGCTGGCATTGAAGCCCAGGCTTATGCTAGGCAAGTACTCTACCACTGAGCCACACCACCAGTCCTCCAGTTTCCATCTCCTCTTACCATCCGGGCTGGTAGAGATGATTGCAAGACTATTCCTAACCCTCATAATCATAGGAACCTCTCATTTAACAGGCCCAGAAGCACAGGTTGTGCTCTCACAAAACCAGACCCACAGTAACATGCTCTGCTGCTGCAGTGACTTATTTTCCCAGTTGGAAGCCTCAGGCCAGGCCAGGGCAAGCTAGAAAGAGCCAGGACCAGGCATAAGCTAAGTAGCATCCCAGATGCTATACAAACCAAGCAGGCAGAAATGGAGGTTCAGCCAAGGTGGGGAAGGCAGCACACGTAAGCAGAGGGCTGGTAGGGAAAGGTTGATGAGGGCAAAAGGAAGGAAGGAAGGCCTGTAGGTGTCTTCCATGCCAGTGGAAGCAGATTCAAGTGCTTGGCCCTGAGAGAGCAGCAGAGATGGGATGGTGAGAACTAATGGAAATAGTAAGCTGGAGGAAACCAGACTGGGACAGGCACATATATGGGTAATGGGGACAAACAGAACCAAGTTACCATCTAAACCCAGCCTATGGGACCCTTTCCTGGACTCAGGGAGTCCTACTGTTGCCCCACAAGGGGTACACTTGAGGCACCCCTTACTCACCAGGAGAGAATATAAAGACGAGAAACATTTTTTCTACTGTGTCTGCCACTTGTCCTGAATTGACATGGGAGTGGCAAGAAGGGGTTTCCTGTGTCCCATCTCCTTACCACCCCCATCTGTTTATGCCACAAGGCCCTATGCATGCCACAGGGTGGTCATGCCTTTCCTGGGAGCTCCAGGGGATACCAGCACAGCCTGGGTGCCCAGCCTAGCACTGGAACAGCTGTTACTCCATGTCAGCATCCTCACCCCTTAGCTAGAACACTATGTGCTCTAGCAGACAGGAGAATGGCTGAGGCTGGTGTTCTTCCTGCTCCAAAGCTATTCTGGTCTACACAGGCACCAGGAGATCTGTGAAGTGATCCTGAGGCATCACTGATGCATGGAACCAAGGCTCCAGGATGACTGAGGAAACCCTGAAAGACAGCCCACATTAATATGGCACCTCTACTTGCTCAACCAGCATTAGGGCTGTTGGAGGCCAGAGTGGGCAACCTAGAGCCAACCTCCATCTTTCCCAGTCCCTCTGCCAGTGCACAGGGCCCTGTTCCCTTTGTGCCCTCCTGTTACACACTAACTTGATAGTCTCAAAGTGGGCCAGTAATGTTGCTGGCATTTTTCCAGGCTCACTGCTTCTCTCTCTCTCCTAGTACCTCTGTCCCTCCTTTACTCCATGCCAGGGTCACTGTTACTTGTTTTTCAAATGCACATCTTAACCTGTCTGTTAGGGCAACTGGCCCACAACCTGCCGTTCCTGGAGAGAGGAAGCCCAGTTACAGTACTAACAGCAGCTCTCAAGGCCAACATCTGACCTGGGGTCTAAGGTGACTCGTGCCCATTCTATGTCCAAGGCATGATGCAGGACTGCAGCGTGCCATCCTACAGCTGTCAGATTGAAGACTCTCGGGGATGCTTCTGGAAATTGGTGTTTTATAAGATTTGGCTCTTGTACTGGCCACAAGCTGTACTGTCTACCTGCTCCTTTTACTTGTGAGGAATCAAGGCCCAGAGAGGAGCTATGTCCCTTGCTCAGGGATGCCCTGTGGGTCATTGGCAGCCAGAACTGGGTCTCCTGACACCCTTTGCTGTCACCTCTTAGCTAGGATTTTTTTTTCCACCCCTCATTCAGTCTCAGTTCCTTCCCCAATCAATATGCAGTTGGTTCTTCACTTCCATTTTCATAGCCAAAGTCAATATTAGCTCCTGCAGAGATTTATTTTACTGAATCAATAAAACTGTGTGAGGCAGCTCATATTTTAACTAGGGAGCTTCCACCCCCTCCTGGGAGCTTAGCTGGGGACTTTATCAGTTGACACACTGGTGGATAAAGGGCTGCAGACTGGTAGTGTTTTAACAGATGGTGTTATTGAAGGGTCTAGAGGACAGGGACCCATGAAGGAAGGTGGGTGAACCAGAGCGGAGGCCAGGGGACTACTGGGCTGACTAGAAGGTCTCACCTTTCACTGCACTTCAAGGTATGCCCAGCCTGGGTGCAGAGTAGGGCCAGCAAAAGTATGAAGGTTATCCCTGGGGAGGCCATAAGGCAGCAAGACCCCTCAGCAGAATAATCACCACCATAATCTGTCCATGAGGTCTAGCCCCCTTCTTTGCGAGGCTGACTCTCAGCCCAAGAGTGAAAGCTCCCTAACGACAGGGACATTTGTCCTTAAATTCCCTGAAGTCCTGACACTTTAGGCCCCTATAAATGTTGACTGAATGAAAAAACAGTAACAGTGATTGATAGTTCACTCTGAGAGCTCTTCCACCAAAAAGGATTTGTCATGTGGTCCTCACAATAGCTTGATCAACAAGGTATTAGTATGGTTCTCATTTTACTAATAAGGAGACTGAAGCTCAGAGAGGTTCAACGACCAGCCCCAAATTACTCGACTAGAAAGGAGCAGTCATAACTAAATGCACAGGCATTGCCATAGTGTGAGTCTTCTAGACGCAGATCCTGTACCTGAGGCTCAGGAGAATTTGAGTGGTGGTCTCAGGAAGCACAAGAGGGGATCAAGGAAGTGAGACAGGAAAGGAAAGAAGCCAGAATAGGTGCAATGTGGACAAGACAGCTATGGGCAACCAGCCAAGGCTCAGCCCCACAGGAGACCTCACCAGAGTTGTCCCACTAGAAGTTCGAGGAGGCCAGAGTACTTGTCCTGTACCCCAAAGTCATCATTGGCCTATGTCCAGCTCCCTGGGGCTGGGAGAAAGCTCTCAGGTTGAGACTTCAGGTACTATGGCAAGTCAGGGCCGAGGTGACCTTTCAGGAAACCTATACATGTGTCCAGGAATTTGTGCCAACTACTGTAAAGCCAGAAGCCATGGTGAGCACATGGGCTGCAGGTGACCAGCATAGATAAGGGGTGGGTCTAGTGGGGCAGGCAGGTAAAGTGGGGAACACAGAGAAGAGGTTTCTTCTCACAGTCAAAGCCATCCCTTCAAGAGGGCCGCTCTTGTCTGCTCTTCTGTAGAAACTGAGCATGGATCCCCTTAACAGCTAGAAGTTGTCTTTGTGCATGTGGCTAGAAGCTAATGTAAGGGATGCAGAAGTACACATTTTTAATTTAGTAGATTTATAAAACCATACACTATGTTTCCAACAGCTCCAGGGCATGTATACAAATTAAATTCATAATTTAGAGCGGATGCAGGGAGAGCAGCAGCCTGGAGCAGTGTTCATCAGACACTCTTCACAGCAGAGCAGAGGAGCTGCGGCCCCTGGCCCAGGACTGGTCACAGAGGGCCCTCTGCTGCTGGCTGTGCAGAGGCAGAGTCAGATGAGCCTATCCCTGAGGAATGAAACTCCACACTTGGAATACCGTGGGAGTATCTACCTCATACTTCTAAGTAACTCAGAAAACACTTAAGAGGGTGAGCCAGGGTTCTCAGGAGCCTGTTGGGGCCAGCCTGCTGGCCTGAGTGAATTGGCCTCAATCAGGCACTAGTGAAGGGCATGGTTAGCCTACCAACTCCAGCCAGTCACTGCCTGTGGGAACGCAGGGCAACTGTCATCAAATCTTCAGATGTTTAAAGTGAAACTGGAAAGCCAGATTTTTATATTAAATCTTCTGGTTCCTTTCTATGTTGACAGCTAATTCAAATTTATCTTCTTTTTAAATTTTATGTGGGCCAAATAGAATAGGACTGAGAGCCAGTTATGGATTGTGTACAGTGAGTTTGCAAACTCTGCTCTAAAAAGTCTTGTGATATAGAACATTCTGGTGGAGAAGGCAGAATTGAAGGGTGAGAAGAAGGAGGGCAGGTATAGCACATTGGTGGCAGAGGGAAGGCCATCCATACCCCCTTCCTCACCCTAGCTCTGTCCTGAACCTCATAGACAGTAGCCCACTCATGTTGGTATAAGATGAGTGACCAGGAACCATGGCTGTTGGTGGCTTACAGAGCCTTCCTCACTGGAAAGGGGTCTCTGCCTAATGTAATATCAATAGCCAGTAGCCAAAGATCTGTGAATCAGGATTATTCAACAATCTTAAGCCATCTCACTGAATCACCCTTCAAAAATGTCTGCAGAGCATTCATTGGACTCTAAAATTATTTTATTTGTTATGTGGTGCCTAGACTTTGTCAAGGTCATCTTTGCACCTAGCATCTCAATAGGATTTTACATAGCAGAGTTTCAATAAATGTTATTTGATGAGAGGACTTTCCTCAAATCCCAGTCTGCCCTTCCAAACTGATAGTTTTGATTGTGTTGCCATTCATTGACCCCTTTCTCTCCTAATTTGTGACCTTCAACAGAAAAAAGTTCCTGCACTTCTGTTTTATACCTTCTTATTTTAAAAGGACAGCAAATAACAAGGAAAAGCTACCCAGCACATGGAATTTGTTAGATGAGCAAAGAAGAGGACAATGGTCAATTTGAGAACCTCTTTCTGACCAAAACCCCTGATTGCCTGAGTCATGCTAAATTCCTTTCTGGAATATGCACCCCTGGCTTACTTTTCTGTCCTCAGGCCTCGGCTCAAATGGGGCCTTTTCTCCCCTGGCACCCTGGGCCATTTCTATCAAAGCTCACATGACACCATGTTGTTATTTTCTCTCTATCCAGCTCCAAGGTGCTGAGTTCCTAGCAGGATCAGAGCATGGGTATGGGGTTGCTAGGAGTGATTGTTACAGCAGCTGACATTTACTAACCACTAATCCTGTGCTAGGTTCTATACTGATTAGTCTCACTTTAATTTTCTTGCTCATCTTCATAGTATCCTTATAACATAGGTATTGTCATTATCCCCTTCTTGCAGCTGAAGTAATTTAGGCATTAAAAGGCTAGGTCATTTTCTGTAAGTCTTAATGTGCAACAAACCAAGGTTTGCCCTTGGGAAACTTGACTTCAAAGCTCTTGCTCTTCACCTGTCCAGTTCTGCCCCCTGCAGATGTGCAGACTAGAGACGCCCCCTGCCAACTCTTCCCCATTTCACCCCCTAGATTGCCTGTGCTGCTGTGGACTGTGTCAGGGACAAGAACCAGGACCTATGTCAGCAGGAGGCTGTGAAGGCCTACCCCACTTTCCACTACTACCACTATGGGAAGTTTGCAGAAAAGTATGACAGTGATCGGACGGTGAGTTGGGGGAGGTACCTGCCCAGAGTTCTTCCTGCAGATGTGATGGGAAACAACCACTGTAGAGGCATGAGGCAGAGAGGCTGCCAGGATCCTCAGTAGTCAGCTGGAACTCTCCATGCTGACGAGACACAGGCCTGGGCCCAGCTGGGTCCTCACACTACTGGGCGGAAGCCCCTACCCCAAAGGTATATTCTGGGGTGCAGTTTCCTTGCCTTCTCAGGGCTGACTTGTGGAACCCAGCAGGGCCTCCTTGTCAGGTTGCTCACCTCTGAGCTGGTGGCAAGGGGAGGTGAAAGGGAGTGTGCGTATCCACTCAGGTTTTTATCCCTTCTTTTCTCTCTCTTCCCCTGCACTACAGGAATTGGGATTTACCAGTTTTATTCGAACCCTTCGGGAGGGAGACCTTGAGAGACTAGGGAAAAGGAAGGAGGAGTTGTAATTTCTGCCTCAGAGAAAGCTTTTCCATTACACTGTGAATGATAACCTGTTTTGTTGTTCTTTCTGAATTTCCACATATTCTGAAGACAAAGTTTTTTATAGCCACTTATGGCCTTTTGTACAATTTTGAAATAAAGTTAAACTGTTTTTCTGGTGTTGTGTATTTTCATGGAGCCTATCCTAGTAGGCTCACGTGGAGATGAACATGAGTGTTCTCGGCTTTCCACACCGTCTCTGGGAGATGGACCTGTGCTCCAGTGCCACATCTGCTTTGTGGACTCTAAAGGGTAGGTGGGGAGGGTATAGGGTGGTGACCCCTGTCCACCAATTGAGAGCAGACCAGAGAAACTGGACAAAATACCCTGTTGCATAAATCTGGTTGTGTGGGGGGAAGTGAGTTGGTACCCAGAGGATTCAGTGCTAAAGCAGCAGTAACCAATCATTGGCTTCAGTTTTGGTAAGTTTTCCTGGAACTCATTTACATATTCCTCATTCAACTATTTCTGTCTTCTCCTGTCTCTATTCCCACCCTGCTATGCTGCTAAAGAAAATTAAGTTACCCTCAGGGTAGTGGTCAAGCCCAGGTTGCTATTTGTGTGGAAAAGGAGACCTTTGCTCTGGCTGTTTGCTGTGCACACTGCTGGAAGGAAGGATGTATTCTCTGTGGGCAGTTAGGCCTACGAGCCTGCACTCTACCACTCTACCCTGGCCACAGGAATTTCAAACTTTGACACCACCTTTTCCTTGGGTGGACACTTGCTATTCACCTGCCTGTGGACATCTCTCCTGATCCACCTGTCCCACTAGTCCTCCTACATTCTGCATCTCTGTGTAACTGCAGCCCTCCCCACATTCCCCTGTGACACATTCTATCCACTCAGTGGTATTTCTCCACAGGCAGCATGAGAGCCTTGCTCTGGCTCTAAGTGTAAGTGGTGGCCCTAGACTTGGAGTCCTCAAGTCATTCAGGGGCAATTCCTACACTGTAGTGCTTGGTGACCTTGTTGGGGAGCTAACCTATAGGAACAGGTTTTCTTTTCTGGAATGGCTCCTGTCCCTAGACTCTACCCTTCTTGCTGAAGAATATACTGAGAGGAGGACAGAACCTCAAAACCTGTTGGCTTGGTTGACCATGGGGCTGCTATGCTCAATTCCATTAAGTCAAGTTGAGGTTTTGAAAGCCCTTGCTCTGTACAGTTCTTCAACTCCCTATTTATTCCCTACCAGGTCAGCCTTTCTCTTTTTTCCTAAGCATCCATTTCTTTGGCAGTGACTCTTGGACTTCCCCCAGGTAAATGGTATAAAAGAAAGCATATATTTAAACACTTGCTAGGCATGCACTCTACCATTTGAGTCACACTCCCAGCTCTTTTGCTTTTAACTTGTTTTTCTTTTTTTTTTTATTATAAATTTTTTATTAGGATATATTCATTATGGGGGGGATTCAAAGTGACAATTCTGATCAGACTTATATTGTACATTATTTATATTTCCCCATTGTCTTTCCCTCTCAGCCCCCTCCCCACCCCACCCAAAGCAACTGCAAGAGATTTTTTTGGAAGGAAAGACACTCGTGTTTTAAGTTATTCTCACATACTTGCAGGCTTCATTTGATTTTTGCTTGGAGGCTGTCACTGTGGGAGGCTCAACATGGCCTCTAGAGATGTCCTCATTGGAATCCCTTAGAACTGTGAATGTTACCTTACATGGCAAAGGGTCTTTGCAGATGTGAACCAAGAGAAGGATCTTGAGACTTGAAGGTTGTCTTTGATTAAACATGTGGGTCTGGTGTAATCACAAAGCCCTTCTAAGAGAGAGGCAGGAATGTCAAGAAAAGAGGAGCTGGAATGACAGACCCACAAACTGGAGTGACAGACTTGGAAGAGGGAGGAAGTGGACCTGGAGCCAAGCAATGCAGGTGGTCTCAAAAGCTGGAAAAGAAGAGGAAACTGATGCTCCCCTGGGGCCTCCACAGTCATCAGCTCTGGCTATACCTCACTTTTAACCCCTAGGATTCACTTCAAACTTCTGAACTCCAGGACTCCCAGTGAAAAGGTTGATGTTGTTTTAAGCTACTCTGTTGGTGATAATTTGTGACAGCAGCAAGGGGGACTAAGCCAATCCCAGTGCCATTTCCAGACTTACCTTTTTTCTCTGCAGCTGCCTCAGAGAAATCTTTCTATAAAACTCTTCTGTTTGCTGAAAACTTTTCACAGGCTCCTTATAATCTGGGAGATAACAGCCAAGCTCCTTCCCAAATTTCCTTCCTCTCTCCCCACAGTTCTCACCCTTTGTCCTGCCCTGTCTTTCCTCTTCCCTTTTCCTTCCTTTTTTTTTTTTTCATTTTTCTTTTATTATTCATATGTGCATACAAGGCTTGGTTCATTTCTCCCCCCTGCCCCCACCCCCTCCTTACCACCCACTCTTTTACCTGAGCCTCCCTCAGACTACGATCATCCTACCTCTATGTTCCAAGAAGCTAGGATTATAGGTGTACACCCCACACTCAGAATCCCTGAAAACCCTCTTGAGAGCATGTATTTACATCAGTGTGAGTTTCCTTGGTTATTAGGCCTATGTGGGAGGAACATATTTAGTTGTCTTCAAAAAAGGCTGGTTTGTTTGTTTTTCTGTACCATTAAAAGCATATGTAACAGAGGCCATTTCCTGGCTGAAGACACACTCCCTGCCAGTACCCACCATCAAAGCACAGAGCTTTCTTTCTGTCCATCCAGAACCTCAAGTTCCCATTTTCCTGCCTAACTTCTGTGTAAGGACTTGAAAACATGAAATAGCATCTTCACACTGCTCTCTATTTGTAGGATTTGTTCATTATAGGGCTTCATCAGAATGGTGTGTGTTTTTGCCTTGACTTTGGTTGGGCATGACCTAAACAAGTTCATCTTCACTCTGGGGAGCTGCCTCTGCAGGCAGAGCTTCCATCCTCCACACATACACCCCATGCCCTGATTCCAGAGCTTGATGCAGATCAAACCAGTGCAGTGGCATCTGAATTAGTTCTAGTCCCAGTCATCATGCTTGGCTCATTTGGGCTTTATTGGTGTTTCGTCCAGAACCTCTCTCTCTCTCCCTTTAGCATTCCTTTTTCCTTCAGCAATCCTTTTCCCTTCCTTTAGCCTCCCACATCCAAAAGCCTCCCTATTGGGAACCAAAAGCCACAGTCTGACAAGGTCACTGTGGCTTAGAAGCATTCTGAAAAGGTTGGAATCTACAGGTGCACCATGTCTATCACAGTGGGAAGGAACACTAAATGGTTTCCCTTGACTGAAAAGAAGTTTATACTTAGTCAAGAATACTGGCAGTAAGAATGCAGGGTGGCTGAAAAAGAAAGGTTGTAACTAGGTCAGAGTGTTTTTTTTTATGTTTAAGTCTCTTTCTCTTTTGTATAAAACTTGCTGAAAAAAATTAAAAAATTGCCAGTTGGTCATCAGCCTTCTGGCCCTCTCGATATGTGTCTTGTCTGTTCATTCCTTCCCTGAGCCCTTTCAGGTCAAAGACCTCTGTAATCCCAGCAAGTGGCGCCCAAACAGGGACCCAGACAGAGGCTTAAGGTAAGGAAGGCTCCAGTGGCGCATGCGCATATATTTTAGTTTCAGTTTGAGGTTATGGAGCAACATCGAGAGAAGTGGAGCAGCAAGAAAGTAAAGAGCAGGCTCTCTTTACAGAAATTTTGTGTTCAGTGTAGTGTGGTCAAGGATGTAAAGTGTCTAAAAGTGAGCCTGAATGTTTTTTGTCTTATGTCCAAGAGTGCACTCAAAATTAATGTAATTGTTTTGTGTCTCATTGTGTAAGTTTTGTGTATGTCTATGATATGATTAATTTATTAGAGACAAAAAAATCTAATAGCTATAAGTCTTATTAAAAACTGAGAGTGACTCAAAACACTATTCCTAAAATTGACTCTTCAGCTATCATTCTACCCAAAATCAGTCCTAAAAGAATAGAATGGGACACTTATCAATCTACTCCTAAGTTTTAAAAAATAACTTATCAGTGTACTTGTGGCCACTTAGTTAATTTTACATGTTCTTGAGCTCTTGAATCTGATCATGCTTACATTGACATTTATGGCATGCCTAATTTAAAACTTTTTTTGCATATGCATATACTTAAACATCTTTAGGATGATTCTTATTATAAAATTAATGTAAAAAAATACCAGGCTTCTGTTCTCTCCACTACCTCTTCTGCTGCTACTTTTAAGAAAAACCAGTTTTTTTAAAGCTTATGTCAATCAGGGCTAACTAAACTATAGACATTATTTTATGGACAGTCACTTTAGTCTGTTTCATTTCATCAAAAGTAATTTACATTCAAGTCATTTATAATTAGGTCTGTTAACAAATGGTGTTCTTATAGGTTACTTATTGTATAAAAACAGTTTAAAATTGCCTTTCTATATGGGTCTATATAATAATAATAAAACTAGTTAGAAAAACAATTTTGTTTAAATTTAAATTTAAAATTCTTATGAAAGTTACAGCCCTCATCTTTTTGGACAAGCCTTAACCAGAGACTTATTAGATTGGCACTACCCAGAGGCCACCTTTTTTCAATATGTTGATGACTTGCTTTGTGCAGAGCCCCAGAGCCTCATCATCTTCAGGGTGACTGAGTCCCTTTTAAATTTTCTGGCTTTCCAGGGACACAGAATCTCTAAGAAAAAAGCTCAACTATGCCTCCCGCAGGTCACCTACCTAGGTGTGGTCTTAAAGAGACAGGCTCACTCCTGAGTCACCTACCTAGGTGTGGACTTAAAGGACAGGCTCACTCTCTGAGTCATGAGCAAATCCACCCAATCCTCCATTTCCCACTCCCCCATACCATAAAACAGCTTAGAGCTTTCTTGGGAGTTACAGGATTTTACAGAATCTGGATCCCTAGATATGCAGCCCTTGCCAGACTTGTTTTTTATGCTTCTGCTAATACTTCTATTTGGGCCTTGTATAATAAATGCTCTCTCCAGATTCATATCTTAACAGGTCCAACGGATCAAACACCAGCTCTTGGTCAAGAAATACTCACCTCTGCCTACACATGAGCCCCCCATCCCATTCTACTGGGGACCCTTGGAGACTACATGGGTCAACCCCTAAGACAAGTACCCCCTCCCCTATCCTCCCATTG